CCAGGGGTAGGTTTGGGTTCAGGGGGTGCAGCCGCGGATGCGGCAGGGGGTATAACCCGGGCCAGGGGTAGGACCAAGCCGAGGAGGGCGTGCAGCCGGGGTACTACTGAAACCAAAATAAAGTAGCATGTTGTAACAATAGATATTAAAAGATGCATAGTTGGAGCACCCACAGGGAATCATATGTTATAAACAAGAAAATCCAGACGTTTTAGGCGTAACATGGACAGTAAGTCTAAGACTGAAAGTGAAATATACCCAGAGCTAAAGACATGTACACTGATAAACTAAGTGTTCTACTGCTTAACACCTACAAGTGTGCAACAGCAAGTTAAAAACTTGCAAGTGTTCAACTCGGTAGGTGTATAGTTTATCAGTGTAGCTAGTAACAAGTTGAACACTAAAGAAAGATTTGAGTAAAACAGCACAGCCACAACGCGGAGGTTGTCCAGTTTAGTGCGGATCCGGCGCGGATCCGCACGGATTCCGCGGAACTTGCGTCCGCACGGATCCGCACCACCGGGGAGGAGGGGAGGGCTGGAAATAAACGTTTTCGTGCACAGAAGTAGGTCGACCTGCACATTTTTGAAAAGAGGACAGAACAATGAATAAAGTTCAGTGAAAATATCGCACCAATAAACCCTCATATTGATGGTAGTGGTAGGAGTGCTACAGCAGCACGATACCGCGCGCTCTGTCGGAGTCGGCAGTAGTTTTTTGAGTAGTTGTCACTTGTCGCTTGTCTGCTAGCAGCAGCAGACAATAAGTAAACAAAACAAATTACAAACTGTCTTTCTCGCATGGTGTTTATGATAATTTGTTGTGGCTGTCTACATTTTGTCCTATATTTCCGTGTGTCGAAATGGACAATGTCCCTGAGGTTATCCAGCGCATGTTAGACTTTATTTTAGAGTCAATGGAGGAAGAAGACCGTCTTTTTCAAGAAATCCTCCTTGGTAAGGAAGTGTATATTTGTTTTTGTTCATTATTGTTTAGTTATAGAACGCACGGTTTGTAATTAATTGCCATTTTATGTAGATGAGAATGATTCACTGTTAAAAAAATCGATTGTAATTTTACAAATTTTGTTGGCAACTTTTTACGCAATTCAATGTTTGTAAAATTACAAACTAAAACAATTGTAAAAAAAATTGCAAACGTGTTTTGAAATTTCGCATCTGCGATCTGAAAATTAAAAACGTTAATGTGAATTTTCAAAACATCAAGGTGTATACGATTAAAATAATTTGCCATGAACATGGAGTAGGTGAGCCACAGACGGTCTAGGGATCAGCTCGTTAGGCTGAAGAAGTGACAGTTACCACTGAGGGTAGAGTCACAGCAAAAATACGGGAGCGCTTCACAGGCACCCCCAACTGAACGGATGCGAACGGCGCCGTACCTAACTAAGGAGAGGTAGCGGGGACCGGCGCGCGCTGGAATTAGACCAATTATTTGGGGCACTTGGTTGAATTTTTGCTTAAAAACAAATGCGTAGCCAGCTACAGCGTTGTGTTACAGATCATACCGCACAAAAATACATGTCAGTTTCTTGTGTAAATTTTAGTTAAATACTAATAATTGCTCTTGGAAGAGACGCGCTGACCACAACGCCATCTGGCGGCAGTTCTTTAAAGTACAGTTGCTGTTTCGTCGCATGAAAGTCCAAAGTCACAACGGGCTTATAGGTGTGGAGGTTCGTTGTACTGTAGTAAACCTGATGGAGGACTTGTGCAGGTCCTGTTTCATTTGGTTTTACTTCGCAAAATTACAAACTGCAATCGGAAAATTACAATCAAATCTCACATTTCCGATAGAGTGATCAAAATTTTACAATCGCAAATTGTAAAATTACAAATGTTTCCTAATTTTCAGAAGACAGATTTGAATTTTCAGAAAACTGTTATGATTTTAATAACTAATGGCGAAATTTAGAATTTTATGAAATTTCCCAACCACGTTTGCAATTTTACAACTGATTTTGATGTGAAATTTCACAACTTTTTTAACAGTGTTATGATGATTATGATGATGATCATGAAGAACTTCTTCGACGACTTGGAGCTGGTAGAGATATGGATGGAATTTTTGATGCTTTGGTTGTCCCTGCTCTGATAGCTGACATGTTGGAGTTGATCAATGATGAAGATGATCTTGCTCTGGATTATATATGTATCTATAGTTTTTGTCACTGTCACCTACTTTCCATACTTATGAATGTTTTGTATTCTTCAATTTATTTTTTGTACTTTTTAAAT